CTTTGGCCCCATAAGGGAGGCAGTTTCTCCATGATGAGAGTGTATGTATGTATGTATGTGTGTGTGTGTGTGTGTGTGTGTGTGTGTGTGTGTGTGTGTATATATACATTTTTTTAATCAAACCCAGATCTAAACCTTCACCAGCCCAAGACTAAACGCGGACAAGAACAGGGCCAAATCATTGTGTTCCATTGCAAGCCTACATCACGACTAAACTGGGCTAACACCAGGGTGAATGTGACCCAAAACTGGGGTTGCTTAGATGAGATTAGACAAGAAACATTGCTTTATTTTAACTAACTCTCAATCTAATTAGCAATCTTCTGAAACCGAACTAACTATAATATTTACTAAAAGGTGTGAAGGTAATATAGCAATATAATTATTTGCAACAGAAAACATTTGGCAAAAAGATTCACCGTTTATGTCACAGTTTAAGAAAGAAATGCATGTACCATGTTGTAGTGTAAAAATATTCAGAAAAGCTAAAAAATCCTATTTGTGTGATTTCTTTTTCAGTATTGTTCAATTGATTGTTTTAAAGTTTTAGTACGGATTCACGTCTGATTATTTATTTATTTCTTGACAACCCTAATGTAATCACTTATCTGTCTGTTGTCTTAGGAGCAGCAGGTGGTGGTGTGTCAAATGCTACAACAGCAGAGACAGAGGGAGCTACAGCGCCTCTCCCTGGCTGGAGCGCTCTCCTCAACCCCAAACTCCCCCCTCATCGCATCCTCTGCCTCCCCCCTTCAGACAGGACAAGGGGGCAGCCTCTTTGGTCTGCAGGACAACACACTTCACAAAACAGGGGTGGGTCCCAGAAAGACAGAAATCATTATCATTTTGATTAGTAGTAGTTGTTTTAGTTTAGAATTATTAGTATAATATTAATATATTAATTATTATATTATTAGAATTATATTAATTATTAGGCAAGTTGTATGCAAGTTTGTGAGGATCAACTTTATAATTGAACAACTACAGTGCTCTTGATCAATCAATCCACAATGTTAATAAACCTCAAACCTGAATATTTAAGAAAGTAAAAGTGAAGTTTTGGCTTTCTTAGGAGAAAATGTATGTGTGCATAATTATTGGGCAACTATTAATGTGCAGTGAATATATTCCATTCTCACTTGTTTTTCATCTGCCAGAATAATAAACAACTCAAAATTTACAAACATTTTTGACATAAAAAAAACAACAACTCAGTGACCAATATAGCCATCCTTCTTCTCAATAATGGTCATAAGCCTTCCATTCATGGAGTCAGTTTCTTGATCTGTTCTATGATAAACTTTTTGTGCAGCAGCAATCACAGCCTCCCAGACCCTGTTTAGAGAGGTGTTTCAAGAGTGCAGCATCCTTTTAAAGACAAGACATTTTTTTTTCACCTTTCTGAATCATTTAATAATAGGAATTCAAGTTTATACAGCTTGGAGTTGGAGAATATGCACAAATATCATGATATGGTCAAAATACCCACTTGCTTAACAACTGTGCACACAGTAGATTAAACAATAATGAATGAACTTTTTGGAAAGTCTGGATAAAAATACAATTGGCCCCACCAATTGGAGGCCAAAACGTGCTTTATAAACATGACCATATATCATGTATTGCCCATCTTGTCTTGTGTCTCTCAACAGAAGAACAAGGGTAAAGGTAGTCTTGTCAGATTTGATAGCTGTGTGATATATAATTCCAAAATAGCAACTTGATTCTTCCAACACAAGTTACAAAAATGCTTGCATATTCTTGTTGCAACATTTGATGCTTAACTTCATGCTTATCCTTTCAGGGCCCAGGAGAAAAAAGTGGGGACAAAAATGGCTGACAACTCTTCAAACTTGCAACATATATGAAATGAGGTCCTCTTTTTTGTCGTCTTTCTCTTCAACCTCTATGAATGTATTTCAAATGTACTTTTTATCTAGTGACGTTCTCATGTTTTAAATTTCATAGTTTCTTCTTTTAGTTTTATTTGTTTGTTTCTTTTGTGTAGGCAGCTTTCAGAGAGCATGAATGTGGTCTCTATTTTTTTTTAATTGCACTAAATTGTGAGCTCGACCGATGGCGCCCCCTGGCTTTTGGTTGTAGTGTGAACTCTTTGGGTCTGTGACTCCTAGCACTGACCATTCAAGGATCTCCCCTAGGCTTGAACCAATCTATTTATACAGTTTTCTGCCACTTCTTGCAAACATTAACTGTCTTCCTCAATATTCTGCCTTTCTGTCGTGTTTGTTCAAAATCTTGTTTAAATTTCACCTCACACAATATTGAAGATGTGGAGGTCATTTTACTTTGAAGTTTGTGGTTACTAGTGACATTTTTACCTGAAGATAGTTACCTCAGAACTTTCTACCTTTGCGATACTTAATATTTCATTGTAGACAGTTGTGGTTCATATTTGTGATGATTCATTACCAAGATAGCCTTCACTGGATATTATTGCCCACTTAAACTGTAATAGCTGTTTACGCATTTACGCATGTGAAGAAAGCATTCAAACATGCGTCAAAAATGGCATTTTTAATACAAATCAGTTTTGTTAATTACAGACCACAAGAGTTTATAAGACTTTGTACCTTTCCAGTTGCTATCGAGATTATGCAGACAAAACCAAACATTTGGGGACTTTATTGAAAAGTTAATTGTTTGATTTTCTTTTTAAAATAAATAGCGCACTTTTTGCATGTTAGATGCTATCAAAGTAAATTAGCCATTGACAAAGTACCTTAAAAGGAGATGTGGTGCTCACCAGGCCATTAGGGACTGACCGGTTTCTCATTGTTCATGAGTATTTTGCACTCTGTCCTGAAATGTTTCATGTTCATACTTTTAATGTCCTCCAAATAGTTGTTCTTTTAGCAATACTGGATAGACAATGCCTTAATAATGTTATATACAGAGAAAAGGTGAAAAGGCCTCCTAATGTTGTCTTTCTTTGATAGTGTTTTTATCTTTGGGTACACGGAGGACTCTTCCTATAACGGTTTATACTTTTGATAGTTACTGATCATTTCTGAAGAAACATGTGAATATAGTGGTAACTATAGTCTTTTTTAACGTACTTCTTTGTGTTCAGATGCTTTTCGTTTTGTGTGCTTCAGAGAAGTAAGAAACAGGATATAATGGGACTTTTACAGACATAGGAGATGTAATATTAACATGTATAATTCATAGTTTAGCTGTAACAGAGAGAGGAGAGCAGTGACTAGTCATAGTATTTACATTGGCTTTCACTGTCAGGTTTAGTCACTGATAAGCTTATCTGTCCACCAGTTTCATTATCACAGTTTTACTAACATACAGTAGGTCACTCATAAACACATGTAATCAATAATCTGTAATATTTTCAATTAAACTTTCCCTAACATGTGACAATACAGTATATCTTAGATTAATTTAAGTAGCACTTAAGCAGCTCACTCAATGGTCATAAATACTGTAGCAGAGACAGGAGAGTAAATTATATGAAAGACTTGAGCCACCTTCTTTGACACGACTCCGAAAGGGAGATCTGCAATTTATCATAAGTGTTATTTGAGTCCAGACTGGACCAGGTCCTAGACCTTGGCTGAAGTGCCAAGGGTTTCTGAAGCGGTTTCTTTATGTTGCACTGGGGCATTTTGGCCCAATTGTAAATCATTTTAGTCCCTTTTTTCAATTATGTTGGATAAAAGTTGTTTACTTTAATGTTTGTGCAAAACATTGAGCTTTGAAGTTGGGCGACCAAGAAAAATCCATGTTATGAATGTTGTACTGTGTATCTTTTATGTATTAAGACATAAGCACCTGGTTCTGAACGAGGTTAGATGGAGAGCGAGCTTAATATTGGGATATGAATTGCATGAAATGCAGTGAAGTCTCTCAAATGTATTGCTAATTACCAAGTAAACCTATGCATAATTTTGAATGCATTGTTCCCTGAAAAGTCTAGAAATGAGCACTGAATTTAAAAGGACAAGCACGTTGTCATTGTACAGTGTATTGTTTTCAGAGAATTGATCAAAACTAATTTGACAAATATTGAGATTAAAATCCCTGTAAAGTATTTTGATATTTTTGTGTGTAAAAATTAAAGGCTTGAATAAGACATCTTTTTGTTAATAAATGCATTCTTCTGTGTCATTCTTTTCAGAATGAAGGTCTTATATTATGCAAAATTGACTCATGAGCTTTAAGCCATGTTAGAATGTCGTTACCTCATCAAAAATACCTGAAGTTGTGTTTTGTTCATTTGTTTCATTCACACTCATGTTTGAATAACCATTTAGTATTATTCTGTCTGCATCTGCAAATCTCTAAATGCTCTTTTCCACCTTATGATTTCATGAAGCGGTAGTTTTCAAGTTAATAGCTAGGCCTACCTTTTATCTTTTGTTCAGTAGAGCTTGGAAACTTCAGGGCCAAAATCATCCAAATGCTTCTAGTGAAGGTGTATGGAGTTTAGAAAACACAGTGAAGAACTTCATATATTACCACATGACACTTCAAGGCAACGCAGAGTGTGAACTAAATATGCAGGGTTTGTTAAACATATGTGAATAAACACAGCTCCAGGAAACAGCTTTATAATACATAAATTAGAAATTAGCATAATATGAGCCCATTAAACTCAACCTTCTGGAGGTTCAACTAGCTCTATATTAATAGCCTATAAACTTGAACATGAATTCATTCAAACTATCTTCAGTTAGGGCTTGGTTGGTTTAATAATTATTAGGCCTACATGTATCATCTGTAAATTGTTTTAATGCCTTTATATGTATTATCTCTATGGAATTTAATGATTACACCTTTGTTTGCTTGCTTGCTTGCTTGTTTGCCTTTTTTCTTTTTTTTTTTAGGAACGATTATTTTATCATATGTCACCTCCTCCTTTTCTGCAATAAACTTCTTTGGGCGGGACACGAGCCTCGGCAGCCAATCACAGCACAGGCGCTGACGTCGACGGGGCCATGTTGGGACAGGTTAGGTTTTGTTTTGTAAGTTCTTTGCTGCTGTTCGTCCGTAGAGATTCTCTTGACTGAACTTTGTCATTTATGAACAAATTACTAATATGTATTTTTTTCGTTTTAATCCGGGGATACAAATGAACACAATCAGTTTTATCGTGGCGATGCAGAGAGGATGCCTGCAAACCTTGAGACGACCTCAACTCTTGGCTTCCTCTTCTATGGTAAGTCCCTTATGTTTACATTATTTCAGTAGCTGGTATTTTATTTAACTTTTATGTTGTTGAAATAATTTACTAATAAAATAATTTAATTATTTAATTAACTGTTGTAAAATGTGCATTATGCTGTATATGACCTTAACAACCGTTTCTATTCTTAAGGAATCTATAGGCTATACACGCCCAGACACACCTTCCCTTCATTCCTTACACACAAACTGATCCATTGACACCTGCAGCTTTGGGAGTAATTCGTGACTTAAAGGAAGTGTGTGGAATATTTAGATTTTAAGTTCCATTAACAGGGCCTAAATCTCTTGATGTGATGTTAAAATTAGAAAGCAGATTTTGGGTTGCTAGTTTCAGTGCTGAGTTGAGTTCAATCTAGTTGGTTTAAATTATTTAAACTGTCTCTAAATCCTCTCTCTGATCTCATTCCTCACGACCTAAACCCCAGCATCTGCTGTGCATCTGTTCCTACAATAATCTGTCCGTATACTGAGAAGGAGAAAGTGTGTATGTCAGGTTTAGGCACTGTCAACCCATGTTTATATGTGATTGTAGAATGTTGTTAAAAAACTGTAAGAACGCAGGCTATATACCGTTACTTTAATTATAGATAAACTGGCAAACACAACTTCTCCTGAATCACCTCAACACCTACAATAACTCCAACTGCATATAGATATAGTTGCAATAAATACAAAAAATATGATGGCTTATATTTGGGCAAAAGGAAAATATCCTCATAAAGTGCATTAATAGTCTTTGTTTAACTATTTTAATTGCCTTTCTTTGTATGTTTGTATGTATGTAAATAGTGGATGAATCTATTTAATTTGATTTATTTTAGTTCCTTTCTTTCACAATTATTTCATTTTACCTCAATAGTTCTTAATTGAATTTATTTATTTTGGATATTTGAATATTTGCATTCATTATAGCACTGCTTTTTGGAACTACAGCTACTCCGGAGGTGTAACTCACCTGGATTTCACCCATTTTGTCCAAACCACAGATAACTTTTTTCATGCTTGAACAATCCTGTGGCAATTTTATCTCAAGAGGTCGTGTGCCATGAGATCTATTAAATGTTTTATCTGATTTTGTAGATACCGTACCGTCTACAGTCCACAGAAGTCATTGCTGCTGCCCGCATACCCTACAGAGTGAAGTTAAAAGCGGGCAAACACTATGCTTGGTGTACATGTGGACATAGCAAGAAACAGGTTTGTAATCAAATGAACTGGGTTCAAATTTCAGGGGCCTAAAGGGGGCAAAGCACAGGATGTAAGTAATTTAGAGTCCATTCTCTGATGTTTACATTCCTCCAGGCCTGACACTTGGCTTTTGTGAGGCAGCTTGTTGGCAGACACGTACCAAGTTCTTAGACTGTTAAACATGTGCTGTTGGGTAAGACCATAGGGCTAAATGTGAGATTTAAGTCGTAGCAGCGAGCTAACAACTATTCTTAACATAGTAATTAATGAATCACATTTATACATATATAGCATTGATTTGGACACAAAGTTATTTTTTGCTCCCCATTCATGGAAGTAGCAAGCTGCTTTTGTAGCCACAGGTGCCCTGGGGTAGACTGGAAACGTGCCAAGGTGTGCCAATGGCTTCTCCATCTACCACCAGTCACTCCACCACCTTCACATCCATAATTTTGAATGGAGTATTTTGCTCAAGGGCACAACAGCAGTTTGCACTATTCAGTGTGGGTGAGTGTGGTCATCTCATTGTCAAATGTTAGTGGTTTAATCCCAGCTTTGGCTTCAGCAGTGATACTTTTTCTTTATGATTAGATTTTAGTTGTGTAGAAGGTAGAATAAATAACTACTAGTGTTTGATTCAGTTTATTTATTACAGCTCATGGTTTTAACAACATTGAACATTTTAGAATTTTGGGCGGATAATCCTGCTCTATCATCATTTTGTTTCAGTACTATCCTTAATTTTGTACACAGAAATATAGCACTCTTCAGAATTTGTTATCGTGACCTAATTTGTCTCGTTTGTGTCACTAAGCCTCTGCACACCTGTGACTACATTAATAGGCCTATTTTGCCTCAAACAAATAAAAAGAATGAATGGATGCTTTATATTTGTTTGCAGCCTTTCTGTGATGGAGCTCACCGGGCCAAAGCACCGAGCATGGAACCAATGCGCTTCACAGCTGAAAAAGATCGGACCGTCTTCCTTTGTGCCTGTAAGCAAACCAAAAACAGACCTTATTGTGATGGAAGCCACATAAAAGTAATCTTCAATGATGTAGTAAACTATGTGAAACGTGCATTCAAGAAATAGAGAATCATCCTTGAAGACAGTGTTGTGGAGTTGTACCAAAGTATGCCAGTCCATTGACAAAGCCATGTAAAACTGAAGCACTGAAAATCATTTTGCTGCATATAGCATGTACTGTATACTGCAATGTATAAATATGAGAGCTGATTACATACATTTTTAAGACCTTTTTTTTACCATTAATTTATATTAATAATTAATTTAATTAGACTTGTATCCTAGTTCATGTTGTGAATGTAATTCTGCTAGATGTATGTAAGATCGGCCTCATCTTTTATTGTTTTGTGGGATATTTTTGTATAAATAAATAATAAATGGCCTATGCATTATCAAATCACTTTGTTTATAATGAGAATTTAAAGATGCACTGTGTAATTTTTCTGGTGGAGGATCTGCAACCTGCTTGTCTCATGTAGGAGTTATTGCTATGCCTGAGAGTTCCACAGGTTAGCATTAAACTTATCTAACATAAATGTTTATACAGGTGCTCTTATTAATATTAAAAAAGATAAACTCACTGTGAGTGAGCTTAAAGATGTCCAAAAAATAAGTTTAATGCCATGCTGTGGAACACTGGCAATAGAAAAGAGACATTCATATCTCCATGGACACAAACAGGTGGTGGACAACCAGACAAGTTACATAGCAAGTGTTCATTCTTGTGTTTTAGCTTCCTTTTATATGCAACATTTTTGAACACTTAAAATGACCATTTTGTGAATTGAGAGTTAAATGCTGCCAGGCAAATAGTAAGGCACAGAAAATGTGGAGCATGATTGGTTAGAATTGGTCACGTGATACAGGAAGTATTTTTACTAGTGGCAGAATAGAGCACAAGCAGCTGAACTGTCACCTCCAGACATGCAGACATTAACCATATGGACAAGTGTCACTTTGAAACGCCCGTGGACCACAACAGCCTTTAAGGTAAATAAAAAGCTCCTGTTTATCCTTATCTGGTTTGGTTTACTAACCCATATTTTTGTCAGTGATACTAGACAGAGACAGCCATACAATACCAGTACCGCCTTGATATTTAGCTAGCCATTATTAGGTCAGTATAAGAAGTATTAGGAGCAGTATTCGTTTGTAGCTTGTAGACTTAAGTTACAACGTTATCCTGTTTCTATTACATTACATTACTACCAATAATAAGAAATTATTAAAACAGTGATATATATATATTTTATTAATTACTTAATGATATTTAGGTCTATAATTTTAATTAAAAAAATAACAAGCTTTTCATGGGAAATTGTGGAATAACTCTGGTAATACGCCCCCTACAGGACATGAGTCAGAATTGAAGCATTTGAAATTGATTTCTTTTCACAGCTCTGCACGTTCCCACCTGAGCCGGTAATCCCATGCAAGAAACCTTTTAAAGTGGATGTTATTGGTGGAAAACGGTATTCATGGTGCACATGTGGATACAGCAAAAAGCAGGTAAAAAAAAAAGGTTAAAATTTTCAAATTAATATTGAAAATGTGTATTCTTCCTTGAAATCCTCTCTAGAAGTTTTCTTTTTCAGCCTTACTGTGATGGAGCCCACAAATTAAAAGCACCAACCTTCACTCCTCTTCGTTTTTTCCCTGACAAAGACATGACAATATATTTATGTGGCTGTAAATACACCAATAACCCACCATACTGTGATGGCACGCACAAGCAGGATTTCATAGTGTCTGCTCCGCTGTATGAACAAATGGACTCTTAACATCTACCTAAACCTGGTTCAGTTGTCTCTTAGGTTGTGTTCACACTTATACATAGTCACACATCAAATTTTTTACTACACTTAGATTTGACCATGACCAAACAAAGTCTACAGGATTAGTTTGAGATCAAAAACAAACCAGGGCAAGGGTGAATGCAGCCTGTACAGTCTTTTCTGTCAGCTCTTTTCAATTGTAGATTATATTTTGTGATTTTGCTTTCATAAACCCTGAAGTCCTGAATGGTTGCACAGGTACATGGGTAAAATGTTAAGACTCAATTTTAACTTTCTGTAACACCAGTGTCCATTTAAGATTCGTATTGATTCTCATATATGATGGTTCGGTCAACTTCAAAGAAATTGAAAACATTATTCACAAACACAAAATGGGAGCTTCAGTTTTACTACCTCACCTCAGTATTTATATTATATAGTTGGTGTATACTTTTGTGCCTAATATACTAATGGAATTAAGTTGGCCAAGTTACTTGACGCACAATATCAAAATCTGAACAAATGTGCCAAAATGTGTTTATATTAATGTGAATAAAGACGTGGATACTCTGCTATACAAAAGTTTATGTAAACTTTCCTGGTGGAGGGTCCATTACCTGCTTGTCTCCATGGAAATGTTACTGCTTTGTGTGGTGTATGTATCATATCATGGAGACGAGTAGACACCACTAGGCCAAGTTAATAGGACTGTGGAGAGGCGATTCACAGTAAGAATGCATGTTTTTCAAAGTATTTTATTTTAGCAATAAAAAATGGTTTTATGCCATACTATGGAACTTTCCAGGCAACGCAATTACATCTCTGTCGAAACAAGGCGTTGGTTGACCCTCATTTAATAGTCATTGAGAAAAAATTATTTAAAGATAATAGCATTGTGGATTTAATCAGGACGCTTAGGTCAGATAACTATTAAGTAAACATTTTTATTGACCTAAAACATGCATGTATGGCCAATCAAAACGCCTCCATGTCTGATGTCAAGAAAATGCATGGAATGTAGAAATTTGAGGAGCTACAACATACGCACACGTCCAAAATTCATATCCCTTTTGAGGTTGTGGGCTGTCATTAGATGAAATTCATGATTTTCTAATATACATAAAACAGTGGTAGTGCTTAAAACATTTGTTAAAGGATAAATGCCTTCTCTTGCTTGAAAATAGTTGTTGGTTGTGTTATGAAAGTGCATTGTCAGTGAAGAATGAAGACTATACCAGACACTTATACAGCAGTTATTAACATGGAAGTTTAAAGGCAAATATTTTAGCTCTTCATGTACATCCAATAGCTTTTTGACTCATGTTTTACCAAAGCCAAATAGATGAGAACATATGGAAATGGAACAGACACACCGCATATACAATACAAAACAATTACAATATCTTGTATAAAAGATAAGTTTATACATATTATGCACACATGCTCACATTTGTTACATACTATACAGTTCTTACGTGTGCATGGGTCTAGTCTAACACACAGAAACACACATACAAGTGTCTATTTGGCCAAAGAACCAGTAATTTTCAGCAGATAGAAATTGGATTCTGCCACAGATTTGTCCTTCAAATTCTGGACATTTTGCCGTTTAGAAAAAAAAGGGACGCAATTGAAAAACTGTCCTCCCATTGAGAATATAAAGTGGTTAAGTCGTAGCTCCACTCTTATCACCTCCCCTGCCTTCTTCTTTGCCATTTCCACTACTCGTGCCATTAACAGTCACCTTTCGTGAGCCACTGCCCCCTTGTTTTGAGGCTTGGGAGTGTCGCTGAGAGTTGGGCACTGTGGCATTACAGTTGGAGGAGGTTTGCGAGGAGGGTGGCTGGTTTTTGGGTGAAGATCCAGACTGTTGCGAGGTGCCTCTGGGTGTTGATGGGGTAGCAGATGGGGGACTGTGGAGAGCTTTGTCACTGTGGGAGTCACTTTCGGATGTGGGGCTTGTATTGACCCCGTCCGAGTTACCTGCAGCGACTGACTGGGACAGCCTCCTGCGCTTCCGGTTGGGTTTGACCAAATACTGCAGCGGGATAGGCCCAGTCTATGAAGGATAAGAATCAGTTATGTTTTGAGAGTTATAGCTAAAGGACTATTGATATTAAACAGCTGGGTTAAGAGGCTATATGCACTGCAAGCACATAAAGAGGAATTCAGTTTTTAAATGAACTACTGAGTTTTTAATGAAGGCCTGCTTATCTCCACTCAGATGTTATGGCTTTGCCTGGACTGTATCATGGTATGGGAATGAGCTTAAAAAGGTGACATCGCCAGGCAATCTTACAGGTCAGATCTCCGGATGCAAACCTGCTCACAGTAAGAATGCATATTTTGAGCAATAAAATAAATGCAAGATGTCATGATCCCTTTAATACCATACTGTGGAACATTTTAGGCAAAATGATAACATTTCCTTGACCATAGAGGCAAGCAGGTGATGCTGATAATCATAAAATTTTAAAGTTATGCAAAAAAAAAAAAACGACAAAAAAAAATTTTTTTTTTCAATTTTCTGCCAATACAAACCCATGAAAATGACTCTCCTGTTTAAAATACTCACATACAGTTAATAGCCAAATTATTACAATACTAAATTGAAGCATAATACAATGGTCATTTACTGGAGTAAAGCAGAAGTAAGCATCTGCAAACTTTTAAGGCTAGACTTTTCACCTCTTGTTCAAAAGATTTCAGCTCAAATTGAACTTGTCATATGCAAGTTGAGAGATTTAAAAACTACTTCCAGATGCTAACATCACACTAAATGCAATGTCAAATGTTTTAAAAGAAACACTATTCATTTGTATACAATTTCACAACAAATGGAGAAATGGCAATCTACTTTAAATTGCACATATCAGCATAGATTTTTGGAAATGTTTTATTCTCAAAACTCTTTACTGCACTGTTTTTAAATTTAAGTTGTTCAAATGTTTCCTCATCCCTTACCACAATAAAGGACTTTTGTCAGATCTGTCAAACCAGTTGCTTAAATATACATAACTTTTCATGCTTAAAAGGTACCTTGCAAGTTTTCCTATAAAATTAAACCCTTCATAATTTTGTGGACAATTTTGTATTATTTAATTAAGGATCCAGAGCAAAGACTACTCTCCCTCACCACTCACCACCAACCTGGCCTGACAAAATGTCCCATTAATTGGATTTCAGATGCCATTTAAAAGTCTATATTTTGTTTTGATTTGGTCCTAATTTGTCATCACTCTGAAACCCAGGGATACTCAGTGATGTGCCTCTTATCTTTACTCAATATAAAATGATTGTAGTCTCAAGTGTTTGCAAAAGACACACCCATTTACATGATAATGTAAAAGTACTCACTCTTCTCCACTCATAAAAGTAGGCAATATCCATTAGTGTGTAATAGTCCTTCAAGGGTTCATCTCCATATAACACCTCCACCTGCAAGAAACACGAAAAGGCAACCTTTTGTTTTTATTATAGCTCAACCACTTTTAACTCAGAAATCAAGTCTGTATTGATTTCATGTATACTAACAGACCACTATATGTAAAATACTTAAATGAAATTGTAATTGCACCACATATTTGGGGGAACAAACAACACATAAAGGAGACTTAAAGTTGAACTAAGTAACTTTTAGTACAGGGTCTGCTTGTCTCCATGGAAATTTTATTACTTTGCCTGAAAGTTCCACAGTTTGGTGGTATTAACCTTATCTATCTCCATGGAGACAAAAAGCTGATGTCACCAAATCAAGTTACATGTTTGTGGAGAGGTGACCCCACTCATAGTACATACGCATGATTGTCAAGGTATTTTTGAGCAATATAAACATCTGTAAAAACACTTTAAAAAATGATGATACATTCCAGATAAATCAATGACATCTCCATTGAGAGATGCAGGTGACTGACCCAAACCTGAAAAGTTACATCTTGCACCTTAAAATATTTTCCCTATGGCTGTGTTTAACTTAACAATTAAAAGATAACCAAGCTGACACACCTAGGTACGAATGTTACAGTTCATACAAACCATAATTCATTTTGTGTAGCTAAAGTGGTGAATTACCCGATAGTTGCTGGGTATGTCCATCTTGCTTCTGAGGAACTTTGCCAGGTGCATGACGGACATGGCAGCGGGGCACTGCAGGAATCGTTTACCATTGGACTGAAGACAAGAGCAAAAATCCACAATTAGTATGGATTCAAAAACTATATAACCCAAACAAGACCTCCTATAAATATTCAAATACTTAATATGCCATTAACAAAGTCTGGAGAAGTATGTTGCTACTGAGTACAGTAAAAATATGATACAATATGATGTTACAATGTTTAGCATCACTTGTCACCTTCTCTAATAAATAAATCTATTCAATGTACCTTATCATTGTCCACTTCTGAATGCTGTTTGTCCTTATTTCTGCAAAATCAAGCAGAACATACAGTAAAACGTATGTATAAATGAATCACACTTTGGAAAAAAATAATAATATCATCACAATAAACAGATAGTACAGTGTCATAGTGACTCACTTGTTCCTCTCGTAGAACTGTATGGAAAGACTGATGATTTCATCCTCCGCGATATTAAACGTCTCTACTACTTCCCCAGGCTCCAGCTCACGGTTTTCTGCATAAAAGTCCCGTCGCCTCTTCATCTCATCTTAGCACATAGAAACACATGCAGATATTAAGTTTCTAAACTAGATTTGAAAACAACATGTTGATCATATGAGATTAAATCATACCTTTGAATAGCCCTGGGACAAGCTTATATACAATATCTTGTAGGGTTTTGTCAGCTCTTGAAAAAAATTTAAGCAAATCATCAATAAAGCTGAATAGATAATAACAGCTTACTTGCTGTTTCTTCCATAATTAGCATTATAGATGTCTAACATTTTATGGAAGCAGCAGGCTCCGTACAGAGAAACTGTTGCTCACCTGATGCTG